TTCTGAGTTACAACGGAGAGCTGCACTTCTCTTTGCACCCATAGTTTCCTTTCTCACAGGGTTGCAGTTGTGTGGCAGAAGGTTTGGTTGTCTGTTGTGATTGAGAACTGAAAAAATGAATTGCTGTTGAAGACCAGCGCTGAAAGCAGCAGCATTTCACAAGTGTTCCCTCACTCTTTCACAGTGGTTCCCATGTAGTTATCCACCAATAGCTGTTAATACTTGAAGAGTAAATTAGCTGTAAAAAATGAGCAAAAGCTTAGAAAAATTATCCAGAATTCACTACTTTGAATTCAGTCAGATCACTGTCCTGACCACTGCCCAAACAGACCATTAGGGGATCTTAACCTGGGATTTATGAACCAATTTCAGAGAGGTTACAACCGTTCTCCCTTCATTTTGGCCAGAGGGATATGGGGATTCCAGTGTTTTTTCAGTGTCAACATGAGGTGACGATAAGAAGTTTATAAATTGCTAGATTGAATTGTTATGTATTGGGGCTGGGAACATGGAAGAAGACAGATTTCCAAAAAAAAAAAAAGGCCCTTCAGGCACTTTGTTATTTTTAACCAGTTTGTACTGCTCTAGAAATGCAGCTTTTAGACATCCCCTCTGTTCTAAATTTGTTCGGTCTTTCTTTCTCTTCTTCTTGCAAGGGATTGTCTGGCTGCGTTGTGTGCTTCTAGGCTAGTACCCCTCCTCTCCTTTTTGGTCTATGCCTTGTATGCCTATTTTCATAATTTGCTCAGCTGGTTTCAATGCTCCTGTTTAAAAAAAAAATACAGTTGGGTGATATTCATAACTCCATGTATTTTTAAGAGCTCACTAAATTACTAATTTATTTCTAGCACGTAATGCATTTCTAAATTACTGTTACAAACTTTTTGATAGAAGTTTTGATAGTTTTTTTTTCTTGATAATAATGTCCTGCCTCAAACTTTGTGGCATAAGTACTGTTTAATTCTAGACATGCCTCCTCTTTTTGTTGATATGGAATCTATCAAGACAGAGGATCTTTAAGCTGGCAGGCTCTGCCACATCCTAGAGGAGCAACAATCCTAGACTCAGTTATTTTAACTGTGTTAGCAGATTCTCTCTGCTGTATGGCAACCACCTCAAATTTTTACAAGAGTTAATTTCAAAAGCATTTGTCACACTGTCTGGAAAGAGTTATTGCTCCAATTAAAAAGTGGTTTCTCAGGACAGCCAAGGTTTTGGACACCTTTTATTGCATTTGGCAGATAAAGTAAAAACATCTCCAACCATGCTCCTACAGAATGCCACTGTGGCTATAAAATATATTATACATATTTGCGCTGAGACCTTATTATCTGCAAACTGCAGCAGAGAAGATGCGCAATTGCATCTTGAGAAGTTTGCTACAAACTCTTTTCCTTGTGAAAGGATATTGTTTACATATTGATTTTTGGGATAATGATTTCAACCGTAAGGAGTTGGTTTGCTTAATGTTTCTGCTTAAGAGGTTAATTTAATTTAATTTTTTTATTTAAATGTTGAACTAACTTTTTTCCTTGCTTCCATTTGAAAGAAAAAAAAAGAGGGGTAAAGTTCGTGAGAGGGAGAGATTTGAGTATTGTTCAATATTGATATTTATAAAGAAATCTAAGAAAAAGGATTTAAGGGAAGCACTTGTTTCCCCTCCTTTCCTTTTTAAGGATCCAACTCTGCTATTGAAGATTGTATTTTACAAAGAACCCCTTAAGACTTCCTCATGCCAGCAGCAAGGAAGAAACAATTCTCCCAGCAATTGAAGTGAAAGTCTTCATCAGCTCAAGAGATGTATTTGGTAGCCGTGTTGGTCTGAGACAAAAAGAAATGCAAAAATGTAGAACTCTTGGTTCAGAGATGATACCTTTTATTAGACCAACTGAGAAATTGCAACAGAAAAAAATATTTTTCTGCAAGCTTTCGGGCTCACAACACCCTTCATTAGGCTCAGGGAAAGTTCAAGATGGTAAAAAGTCCCCATATGTAGGAAATAAACATTATATTTATAATAATATAAATACATTTTAACCTATTTTGGATTCTAAACTTCATTGCTGAACAGCAAGAAAGATCTCTACACCTCCCCGCCTCTCTGCTATCCGACATCGACAGGAAAGGAATCCTGCTTGATCTGCACAACAAAGAGCACCTCACAAAGACACTCTCATGGACCCAGAGGGCCAGATTTCCAGCTGCAGCTTCTTCTGTTCAAATTTTTTTTCCCCCCATATATGGAGACTTCTTAAGATCTTGAACTTTCCCTGAGCCTGATGTAGGGCATGTGAGCCCAAAAGCTTGCAGAAGAAAACATTTTTTTTTGCAGTTTCTCAGTTAGTCTAATAAAAGGTATCATCTCTAAACCAAGACTTCTAGATTTTTGCATGTCTTTTCATCAGCTGAGGGTAGATGAACACCAGGGACTCTGGTGATGAGGTTGTAAACAGTAGCATAAGGATGGTGAGCGAGCATGGAATGAGCCCCAGGCGCTGCGTAGGGAAGGCTCCTTGTGGTCTCTCTCCCACTCTCCATCCTCCTACACATTTTGGCATTGGCAGTAAGCAGCAGCAGTGCAGGGGGATCAGCTGGAGTTCACTGCTGCTGGGAGGAGATGTCACCCTGTTGGGTTTTTTGCCACCGGGGGAAAAAAAAGGAATTTTCTTGCATGTTTGACATTTATGTCTGTGTCAAATAAGGTGACATCTTCTCCTCAGCAGCAGCAAATTTCATCTGATGCTTCTGTCAGCTGCTTGCTGCTGGGGCCTCCAGAGCCAGACCCTGCAAAGAAGGGGGAGGGGGAGGGGAGGAGAGGCCTCCCATGGGTACAGTCTTGGCCAGTTACACCTCAGGTTGTAAATGAAGTAGTAGGCATGTCTGAAAAATCCACTGATAACAAGAAAGAAACCTTTCTCCACCCTACATTTTAACATATTTTTTTGCTGTTCCTTTTTATTTACCAGCCCCCTTTCTCCACTAACATGTTCCATTCCAGAGAAAAAGCAGCTCACCAAAAGACCAAACTTACCTTGAATAGGAAAAGCAGTAGCCAGCTTTACCAGCCAAATCTGTGATCTTCTATTTTTCCTTCACAGCAAACAGTGGCTTGCCACCCTCCAATTCACCCTCCTGTTTGGGGAGGTCTCTACTTTTTGTTTGTTTGTTTTTAATTTGATTTTGTTTACTAGTGACACCGTAACTTTAGGATGGGGGTAGGCAATGTTTTTTGACCGGAGCACCGAAAAACACCACAGTGCCTACCTCAGAAGGTGCCGGAGTGCCCGCATGGCAGAAAAACAAAATGAAAGCAAGGGGTACATGGCAGAATTCCCTGCTTGTACCCCTTGCCCCTGCCCCACAGCCCAGGCTCTGTGGCTGCCAGCAGCTACCCTGGCCCTGGGTAGGCTGGAGCCCAGGCTGCTCCCAGCAGGGCTTGCATTGTCCCAGCTGCCTGCTGGGAGCAGCCCAGGATCCTGGCTGGCAGCAGCTCCCCAGAGCCGGGGTTGGCTGCAGCCGGGAGGCTCCAAACAGTTGTGCCGGGCTCAGGGGTCCAGCATCAGCTCCGCACTGGCATGTGCAGGTGTGCTTCAGAGCGGGCGGTGGGGGAGGGGCCTGAGGCAACGCAGACTCAGTCTCTCCCCCACTCCCGGCATGGAGGTGATGAGCCCGGCACAGCTGTTTGTAGCCAGCCTGGGCTCTAGGCAGCTGCAGCAAGCAGCAGGCACAATGCAAACAGCTGCGCCGGGCTGCACAGCTCCGGCATCAGCTCCGTGCTGGCGGTGACTTCGTGGGCACCTCGGGGCAGACAGCAGGGCAGTGCAGCCTGCCCCGAGGTGCCCATGAAGTCACCGCCAGCACGGAGCTGATGCCAGAGCTGTGCAGCCCGGTGCAGCTGTTTGCACTGCGCCTGCTGCTTGCTGCATCTGCCTAAAGCCCAAGTTGGCTACAAACAGCTGCACCGGGCTCATCACCTCCGTGCCGGGAGTGGGGGGGAGAGACGGGAGCTGCGCTGCCTCAGGCCCCTCCCCCACCTCCTGCTCCAAGGCGCACCTGCACGCATCAGTGCAGAGCTGATGCTGGACCCCAGAGCCTGGCACAGCTGTTTGGAGTCTCCCAGCTCTGGGGAGCAGCTGCCAGCCAGGATCCTGGGCTGCTCCCAGCAGGTAGCTGGGATGCTGCAAGCCCTGCTGGGAGCAGCATGGGCTCCGTCGCTGGCAGCAGCTACCTGGACCCGGGGCTGGTTGTGGGGTGCCAAGCAAAATGGCCTCATGTACCACGCTTGGCACGCGTGCCAGGGGTTGCCGACCTCTGCTTTAGGACTTTCTGGATCCTTGGGAAGACATTTATTTCTGAAGGTGTCATAGAACTTGGAATTTATTATCTGATGTACTTGAGATTTGGTAGAAACATTTTACCATGTCTACAAATCTCATGTACTAATGTGCGCCTAGTATGTCTTTTGAAATATTACTTTATTTGTTAATTTTGGGTCGGAAAGAGGGAGCAAAAATTGAACTTGCAATGAAAACATAACTACAACTTGTACAAAAGAGTTGTCAAGTGTAAAATGCAACGTTGATTCAGAAAAGACAATCAAATGGCTTGAGAGACCACCTTTAACCTGCCCGACAGCCACAGTTGAAATCCACAGAAAGAAGCAAGGAATGAGCATTCCCCATGACAGGTCATCAGCTTTGGAATATAATGCTTTCCTTCTCCAAAACAGTGCAAATCTGTTGATCTTCCAGGAAACTGTAATATTTATTTATTCAAGTGTTGGAACAAGTGAAGCTTGAGGGGAACTCATTTTGTGGGGGAGGCAAATTTTATTTTATTTGAGGTGAATTTCCTTGTTACTGTTTTAGTGTGATTTTTTTTTTTTTTTTTTTAAACTTAGTAGAAGCACCTGTTTTGAATATTTTCTAGTTTAATCATTTACACAAAGAAGGATAGAGGAATTAGTTGTTGGCTTACTTGTTTCTTTTCCTCCCTTTCAGGGAAAGACCATGTCTGTAGATTCATTGGGTGTGGAAGGAACGATAGGTTTAACTATGTGGTCATGCAGTTACAGGTGAGTTGTACTGAATGGCTCTTAAATTGTTGATTTCCACCCCCCCACATGTATTTAACAAATAGTAAGTGAGCATGATAGCAAGTAGAAAATAAGCCATTTTTAAAATGGGCTGCAGGGCCGAGGTAAATTGAACATTTCATATTTTCATCATTATCCTTTGTCAGAAAGAAGGGTCACCTCTTTAGAATCACCTTTTATTTTACTAAGAGAGTTGTGATGCTTTCTGAACTAGTTGACACCCCTCTGAAAACTTTAATTGAAGTTGGAAGATATTTTAAAACACACTCAACTACTAATGGAATGACATCATTCAAATTGTTTGGAAACAAAGAACTATATTTTCAAAACACACTAAATTTAAGGTATTGAAGACTTTGAACAATATATTTAGAACAATTTTCAGATGTGGTGTCCATGAACAGGATAGGGTTGACTGAGGGAGATTTTATTGGACGTGAGTTGTACTGCAACTTTCAGTTGAGGAAAGAATAAGTGAAAGATTCATAAACATTATGTGTAAATGTTGGTTTTGGGACCAATCCTGAAAATACTCTTTTTATTTATCAGGGCCGGAACTTGGCAGATCTGCGTCGAAGTCAGTCTCGAGGAACCTTTACCGTCAGTACCACTTTGCGACTGGGACGACAAATTTTGGAGTCCATTGAGAGCATTCACTCAGTGGGATTCTTGCACAGGGACATTAAACCAGTGAGTTCCTCCTTAAAACAGTCAGCATTGAATTTGCTTGGTCTTGGCTGGCGGCCTTAAAAGAGTGGGCAGTCTATTAGATGGTAATACGAAAAAGTGAGAAGGGGAAGAGAATTGGAGGCTAATCTGTCAAACTGGCAGTGCAGAATTTATTTAATTAGTGTTAGATTGCAGTTCCTGTAAATGGCCGTCCTCTTCACAGTAGTTCTCAGTTAGTGTCACAGCTGAGAGATGGAAATGTTATGTAGCAATACCTCCTGCCACCGAATAAAATTTGATTAGTGAGCATTTGGATTATGAATGCAAGCATTTGATGTAAGAAAACAAAAGGACTAGAATTTAACCATTGGAAATATGAGTTTTAATAGTAATAGTATATTCTTAATTCATTTTAATTTAAGTTGAGATATGGAATCTATTTCATGTATGAATAACAAAGAGATACAAATAATCTCTATGCAGGGAAGAAAGAATTTGGTATGCTGGGTTATTTTAAGCTTGAGCTTTGCATAGAACTCTCTAGAAGTAGCTTGTGGTTGTTTAGGCGAAGGGTAGATTCAGAATTGTACTTGGAAAAAACAACATGTGCTACATAATTTTGAGAAAATGACTCTTCTGTTATTGATCATATTTGTTTGAAAGTTGTATCCCCCTTAAGCTTTCAATTTCCAAAAGTACAAATGAAGTTGAAACGGTAGGAGATTTAAGATAAATGATGCAGTTTAACAAAGGACTAACTTCTAATGATCTCATAGCCTTTATAATAAAGGATCTGTCTGAATACACTTTTTAAAGTAGTATTTTAAGCACTTAAGTAGTATCCAAGCCACAGAAACAAAGAGCTACACTACCACCGTTGCCTCCTAAGCTAGCAAGAATGAAAATATATAGATCTTTGCTAAAATAAGGTAATTTTTTATGTCAGCTTCTGCTATGGAGCTTAAATCATCATCAGCTTGATTGGTCAACACTTTCCAAATAAGCCTCCTGGAATATTATTTTGTCTTCTCTTTTCTCATTGTAATCCCTGGGGTTTAAAAAAAATTCTCATGGTCCACACTCATAGTTTGGGAATGTATGGTGTCACTTCCACTGAGAACTTCTGTTTCAAACAAACTTAGTTGTTTCTGTTAGTACTTGTTCTGCAAAGAAGGAAATATTTATAAAGATATCTCAGCCTTTCTAGGTTGATCCTGGCCTGTGCTTCTTTATACTGTGGGCTCCTATACATGTGCAGGGAGGCTGCTCTGACATGCTGTAATTACAGCACATTGGACCAGACTCTATTAATTGAGTCTGCTGGAGCATGGTAATTGCTGTGCCCCAGTATCATGTGTATCAGCGTCCTTGCACTGAAAAATGGTGGAGGGGCACTTTGAACTAAAGCTCGTTTGACAAGCTTTAGTTCAAAACACCCTGTTGCCATTTTTCAGCACGAGGACACTGATATACATGATGCTCTGGGCGCTTTAATTAGCATAGCTCTTGGAACTGTGGTAATTAAACACCCCTCCACCTCCTGGAGCACATCTGTAAATGCCCTATGCGATTCTTTCTGTTTACAAGTATTTTTAAATACAAATATTTTAATTGTTCACCTTGAAAAGTATTTTCTGAAATGTTGAATAGAGAGAATCTTTCTAAAGTGAATTTTGGAATTCTGTTAATTTTTCTCCTAAGTGAGAGTATCTTCAACTACCTGTCTAGTTTTGATCTGGACATTGATCTTCACAGGGCTTAAATTTCCTGATGAGTCATTTTTTTTAACTGTTCATTTTTGATAAGTAAAGTAAATCCTAATGAGAGAATTTGAGCTCTCTAGTACTTTAGACAATCCTCTTTTTTTTCCTACTCAGAAGAGGACTTGCAGCCAATTAACAGCCTTGCATCTGACAAAGAATTAGAGGGGTAGACCTAATCATTTTAAACTGTAAAAAAAACCTGTGGCTTTACTTGGCAGCAGTTCATCCTGTGATTTAAAAAGCTTCCCTTTGCAAGTATTTAATTCTTCCCTATATTCTTGGATCAGGGGTTGGAGTGACAACAGGTAATGATACATTTGAAATTACTTTGATGAGGATGCTTTATTCTTTGTAGCTTTTTACAATAGTAGCACATTTCCAAGTTTTGATGATAATTTTAAGATTGTGTAGCATTTGCCAGTGAATTGTGACAACTCAAGCAATTAATTTATAAGAGTAAGTCAGTACTGCTTAACACCTTTCTTATAGCTATCTCAGGTACAGGTAAGTAGTCCACCTTTGTCACTGTTGTTGGTATTTGTTTTGGAAAAGGGCTTTTCATACTTGCAAAAATTCAGTCTTGTTTGAAAGACCTCAGCTGCTTTGCTCGTAGATGGAGGATACCCTGCCCAGACTTGAAAGCACCATGCTTACTGCTAATTTTAATCCAAATCTAGCATATGTGGTACTAAGATCATTAGCACCAGAAATCAACAATAGCTTTTTCACATAGTAGTACCAAATTTCCAATTTGCTTAGTCTTCTCAGAAGTATAGTTTTTTTTTTTCTTGCTTCATCTCCTTGATTTTTCTCCTGTTTTTTTACTATCAATAATTTTTAAGGTGGGTTGTGCAAGTGTAGCAGAAATTTTAAAGCACCAGGGCTTGCCAGCCTGTGTTGACTTGTTGACGGTAGGCATTTTAGGGGGAAAAAGTTATCAAAGAGAAAACTTAAGAATGGGCACCTGTGGAGACAAATGATGAAGAAAATGAATTGCAGTTTAAATTTTTGGAATGTATTGCCTCTACACATCCAGTCTTTCTCTCCATGCCAACTTGCCTGTGAAGTTATTCCCAGTGCAGACATCTCTTTCTCCCCATTCTCCCCACCCCTCCAGAAGACCCAGTGCAGCCCACAGATCCAGGCAGCACAGCAGACAGTTTCTTCAGTAAAGACATTCATTTGTGCCAAGGCCATCCAGCCAGCCAAAGGTTCTCTATCCCCTCCAAATGGGTTAAGCAGTCCCTCTGCCCCAGGTTAGCCCACAAAGGCTTGAGCACCCCCAAAGATACTCAACTGTTCCCTTTCCAGTCTCTTCACCCCTGCCAAAGCTTCTGCCTTTCTCAGTCCTCCAGACTTTTCTGGCTAGGAGCTGACAGGCTGCTCTCCCATTGTCATGCATATCTCCTGTGGACACCTCCTGGGTGTCTGGCGCCTCACCTTTGTCGATATGTCAACTAAGCCATGCAAGACTGTGTTGATGCTAAAAGGTCATCTGGTCTCTTCTCGCAAGTAGACAGCCCTGGCACTTAATTCTTCATTCTCTATATGCAGATTAAAGAAGTAAATGGATTCACACAATATTATGAAAATATGAATGCAGTTAATACAGAAATATCACAATAAAGTCTATAGTTTGTAATAACTGTATTGTTGGAAGAGATGTTAGGCAAGCTTTAGCCTTCATCATAGCTGCATCATCACTCCAACCCTATGTATACCATCTCACTTTTACTACAAAATAAGAATGTACATGTGGGGAATTTACCATGGAGCAGCTAATGCTCTGTAAATTCGCACCCTCGTTGACATTGCGGTAGTTTGATCATTTGCCCATAACTTAGTGCTCCTTTTTACTCTTGAGCATATGACCATACTCAAAGTGAATGGGGCTTGAGTTAAAAAGAAAATACAGAAGGAAGGACAGGATAATGAAAAATGCCTTTCATTTGTGTGTGTGTTAACACGTATACTTTTTGTTTATTTTCTAGTCGAACTTCGCCATGGGGCGTTTCCCAAGCACCTGTAGGAAGTGTTACATGTTGGATTTTGGCTTGGCACGACAATTTACAAATTCATGTGGGGATGTCAGACCAGTAAGAATTTTTTTTCCACATTTACTGTAAATTATTAATAATTTCCTGTGAAAATATACACAAATATTTCTGGAAAGGTCCCTGTGTAAGATTGAATGGATTAAAGATCTACATCCAGTTCTTTCGTTCTGGAGCAGAGATGTTATATGACTTCATAGAAAAGAAAGATCAAATGACCTCAGAGTCATAAACAAGGGTGGGTTCTAACTTTGACCTAAGACGCAGACTTATATGACTGTGGGCAGCGCTTAAATGCTTTATGCATTGATCAGTCTCTGATCTAGTTTTCTATCTGGAAAAGCAGGACCTCAGTGAATACTAGATGTTATGCTACAGCGGAATGTTTCTTGGCAGATAAATTGTGGTCGGGTAAACATGTTTACCAATATAAGTGATCGGAAACGGGTCTATACTCATACCAGAACAGAAGTTCAGCACACACAAACTGGTTTAAAAATGGCAGAATTCAGTCTAATATTTGTGTCCCCACCCGCCCAAAGGGCGAATGTGTGTTCTGTTTGCTACTTATCTAAACTGCGCTTCTTGCAGAAAACCATGTAGCTTGAATTGATTCTGCCTCAAGCTTTTAGAATGTCTGTACCTAGCCTATAGGAGGAGGAGGATGGGAGACATTTGAACATTAAATTGAAAACCTACTGTTGTCTAGAAAAGAAAGAATCAGGCAGAATGATAGCATGAAATAAAATATAGGTAAGTGTAGCTGTTGTATTGCTGAAAAGAACTACTATTGTTTTAAAATGAGGGGAGAATTAACATATCATTTAGTCAGAGAAGATCTTTAAAACAAGTGACTGAATGAGCAGATCACATTAGGTAGAGTAGAGCCTCTGTAATTTGCTGATATTTGGGAGATGCATTGTGAATTCCTGAAATTTGTGAAGGGACAAGTAAGTGAAGACAAGCATCATAAAATATAGTCCAGTGGATCCCAATCTGTGATATAGGTACCACCAGTGGTACGCAGACAACCTGTCAGTGGTATGCGTTAACAGAGTTATTATAATTACTTCATATGACAAAAATTTGCTGGTGGTACTTAAGGTTGAACTGAAAAAATTTCTGTTGGAACGTAAGGTTGTATCATTTTACATTGGTGGTGCGCAATCTGTCAGAGTTTGGGAACTGCTGATATAATGTTTGTTGTAACTAGTTTTTAGTGTAAAAGTTTATAGTAGTACTTAATATTGTACTTTTTAATAGTGTCTAGTACACACTTGGCACATCTATATGAGGTGCTAACTGTGCAGGAGCCTAATTCTACTGTGCATTAGCATGCAGGGCAAAAACCATGCTAATATGCTAATGCGTAGTAGTATTGGGCTACTGCGCAGTTAACATTGGTAAAAAGCCAGTTACTGCACATTGATTTAGTACTTGATTATGCAAGTACTAAATTTAATGCACAATAGTTACGGCGCAGTAATGAATATGTAGTGAATGTAATGGAACCTGATTATTAGGAGCCATCTCTGGAGTGTTTTTAGTTCCACTGTGGCTGAGGGGTAGGACAAAATCACAGTTTTTGTGTGCATAGACTTGTGAATTAACTAAATAAATTAGTGAGGTTCTGCTATACTCTGTACCTTCAGCAATAATGCTGGCATTTTAATGAAAATAAAGGGTAGGGTAGAGCAATAGAGTGGCTGCTGCTCTTGGAAAGATAAGCTAAGCCTTTTGAAGTAGTGTATTTTTATTAAATAATTACAAACCCTTGTCTTTTTTTCTATGTCTGGATATTTAGGATGTCTGAATTATTATTTTGTAAGGAAAAATTTAAGTTTTTTTTTAAGTTCAATACTACAGGTCCACCAGTGATGGTATTTTCAGAAAAATTAACAGGAATATTAGATTTTGCATTGTGCAGTCTACTTGCTTTTGTTTTTCATTGCAGTGCCCTCCAGTGTAACTGAAATAATTTTCTATTTGGTATAGTGTATTTTCAGGCTTTTTGACAGATAATACACATACTATAATAATAATAATATTGTATATAAACAAGGAATATGCACACTTCTTTCATTTGCACTGATCAGTATGACTTATTTTAAGTACTAAGCCGTTATGATTATGAAGAATCATATTTATATTTGTATCCAACAATATGATTATGAATAAAATTAAATTGTATTTTCTTTAAGGAAAATATTCTGCGTGATCATAGAGCAGCTATGCTCTATTATAATCATTCTTATTCTAATCTTCTTTAGATTTACTCTCAGGTTCACTAAACACAGACTACTACTAAGGAGATTGCACCTGGTTTGCTTTTAATTTCTCCTTCCTCTTGCAACATATTGTAATGGTGTTTTTCAAATTCCTGGGTATCTACTATGCATCTATGTTTCAGATATTTTTATCTTTGGTAAGCTACTCCCAGCTGTTTTTGTTAGAATCACAAGCTGTCAGTGGTATTTTGATGCGTCTTTGTAGTGCTGGCATGATCTACAAATAGAGAATATGTTTCTTGTTTTAAGTTTGCTATAAAAATGCTTTTGGAATTCTAGTATTTTTCATTCTTACAACATGTCTGATTCAGTAAAATTGAGACTTGATCAAGAAGCACTCAATGCCACCTATTTGACATCTGTGAAGTATTTGAAATTTTGTCTTGGAATTTGATATTTCAAATGGAAAGGAGGCAGCATAGATTAATTTAAATTGCTTAATGTACTGCTGATTTGTGTCTATAAGTTAGTACTCATGGCACTGCTCTATAAGTCTATGGTGTGATAAACTTCTAACGTGGTGCATAGTTGGACATTACAGTCATTTCAGAGATACTTTCTTAAATTGCCATAAAACAATACTAGCCTTTGCTATACATTTAGACCAGAGATTCTCAACCGGGGTACCTTAAAAAGATCCTTTCAAGGGTGTTGCATGGTGCTGCACAATGTTAGCACTGTTAGATGTACAAATATGATTCATAAGACAAACCCAGATATTTCAAATAAGAATTCATAGTATTAAGAACATTCTGACCTGCTGTGGTATTTGAGTTCTTTGCAACAGAAGACTTGCTCTGTTTTTCTGTAGTCAGAAAACAAGTGAAAGCCAAAGCTGGTGTTTTCTGAAGGCTCCCTTGAAGCTATCCAAGGGAACCTTGAGTCTAAAAAATTGAGAATCACTGGTTTAGATGGTCTCATCCTCAAACGGAACATTTCTAGCTAATGAGCCTCTAGGGCAACAAAAGTTGTTTTTGAAATTCATGGGGACGCTGTTTTAGTCTTAACTAGTAGTTCAGCATGGGCCATGAGACTTCAGTTTTTTTGAGGCTCACTGTTAATAGACATACAAACTGTGGATTATAGACTGAATGTCTTTGAGTGTGTGCTCAATTTAAGGCCCCTGCCACATGTTACACTTAAGATGTGATTAATCAATTAGTCATGTTTTAAGTTGTAAGCTGGCCACACATTAAAGCAACGAATGGCATCATAAAACAAGGAATAAGTCACACAGTTATTCCACAAAAAATGTGGAATAACTTTGTAGTTGGTTCCTATCATGCTATTAATTGAATGCATGGCCAGGTGTACCCCTATGGCTGGGAGCCCACCAGTTGATGGGGCTCCCAGTTGTGGGGGAACACCATGTGCTCCCACAAGTAAGAGCCTTGTCAGCTGATGCAGTTGCCCAGGATCATGATTCTGTCATGTACACATGGCATGGCAGTAAGTGCCATTGTGTGGATTGTGCATCAGATCCTATTGTGCTTTTACCTGCATATCTGGCAGGGATCTAAAGAACAGTTATCTGCAAATAACAGATCCCTTATCAGTAATTGCACCAGTAGCTTCCAGCAGGCTTGTAGGTGCTGCAAATGGAATAGTATGCCATTGATCTGAAGCTAGTTCTATGTTCCTTCACCAGCTGGACAAAAAGTGAAATAGGGTTGGTTCCAGGTCAGAACTTAGCTTTGTGTTTTTTCAAATGATTCTTCCAGCTCCCATACTTGGGAACATCATTTTATTATAAAAAGGTCCTTCCATATACACAAGTCTCTGTGGACACCAAATTCATGCAACAATGTCTTATGAGCCTAATGGTTCACCGAGTTGATATTTTTGGTCAAGTCCACATATACATCTTGGTTCTGTTCTCTGCATTTTACCTTGTAGTTGCTGAATTGAAAATGTTGTATCATTAGTACTTCTTCCTTAAGAAAACCATAGTGTGATGCCCAAGATTAATGTACTCAATATCATTCTTGCAAGAATTCTCCCAGCAGCAGAGTACAGCGATACCATGATGACTGTCTTAGCAGTTTGCCAAGACTCAAAATGGGAGCATCTTTGAAATCTGGTGGCTCTGGGTCCTTTCACAAAGGTGGCAAAAATGATATAAGTTGTTATTGGTGATCCCTCATGGTCAAGAATGATCGCTCCTGTGGGTCAAGTAAAGGGTTGTAAATGAGTCCATTGATGGCTAAAGAGGCCAATCCTGGAGCTGCAGACTCTCTGGAAAACTCCATAAGTGGTGGTCAAAGAGAAGGTCAGACCACAGATTTCTGAATCTTGTTTTCTTTCCTTCCATTTCTGTAATTTTTTTGTCTCTAGGACAAGAACATTTTCCTCAAAGTAAGATGTACCTTCTCTCTCAAGGCATTGCCATGTAGCCCTGTCCCAGGCTAGTTTTTCCCAACTTGTGGTGTCGGTGCCCACACTTATTGTTCACCTTGAGTGTGTTTTTGAAGCATTTCCTCTGGCCCCCCACACGTCTTTTGTCCTTGGCTGAGTTGGGTGTATAGCAGTTGTTTTGAAAGACATGCATCAGGCATGCACACAGAGTGCCATGTCCACTGCAGCTGATATTAAATAATCAATGCTTCCATACTGATGGTGTTAGCATCAGCAAGGACACTGGCATTTATGCAATGATCCTCCCACTTCATGCCAGGGACCTCCTGAGGTAGCGCTGATGATGGTGTTCAAAACTTTTTAGGTGGTCCTGATAAGTCACCCAAGCTTCACAGCTGT